AGAATTGAAACGCTTGGGCTATATTGCTGCCTTTTAACCTCGACCTTCGTAGATACATTCTCCAGAAGCCTTTTTTTCTCTGCCGTAGTAATGAATTAACAAATTTTTTAGATGAATAGGGGCTACACTTCAATCAACTGTGAGAAGTGCTGTAGGAAGGCCGCTCACCTCATGGGAATGACTCAGGTATGGTGCTTACTGGGAGCTGCCGATTGTATCCCTACTGTGCCTTCGAATTCTTTTGTAAGCGGTCATTTCTGTGAAGTTGAAGAAAGGCTCTGCTTCTGGTATTCTCTGCTGAATGCTCAACAAGAGTGAAACTTGGGCCTCCATGCCGCAACATGCATTGAGCGCTTGTTCCAGCTGAACCCTGACATCAAGCGCTCTTTCACAGGGAGAGTAGCTATTAGAGGTGCTGATTGAAATTGACCAAGTCAGTCTACTGCCATTTGTAGGCATATTTCATGTTGATAGTGGCAGCTAATGCCTGATACAACTAGCCCCAGTCTTCCGCAGTCTGAAAAAAAACCTGAGACGAGGGTACTTTGCAAGGGCCTGAGATGGGTCGGCATCTGACTGTGTCGGCAGGATTACTGTATCAATAAATCTTTCGAACTTTGGGATCTGCCTCGTCTTAATTTTCTTTAGATTAACCTGCTCAATGCCTATCTTACATGGTGAGAATGATTGGATGAGGAGTCAAATATCCCATCAGTACTGAGTCCCATCATACTGAGAGAATAGACAACAAAGGACCCTTTTTAGTAGGCAAAAGATGTAAGGTTACGAGGAAAGTACAGAAACGTTAAGACGTGATGTGGGTGAGCGAGGGAGACAGGGGGATGCCTGGCTAACATGGATATGAACCGCTTATGGTCGATTCGCACCCAATTACTCCTATTCCTTTATTGTGCCTCTATTCAAACACTTTTGTTGGCAGGCACTTCCTATGACTTCATCTTTGCAGGGTGACAGATTTTCACTTTGTCTTTGTTTGGTTTATGTGTGCATCTCCTAGCCAGTGACCCTTTTTTCAGTTTCAGAAAACCTCTTTCAGAACGACATCCTTGGAATGATGATTCTGATGAACAGAAAACCAAAGTGCTCATGTTGTGCTCCGTACGGCGCTATATCAAAGATCCTGGCCGTGCCCGTGCAGGCTATGCCGCTCTACATGCCACCACCGCCACCACCACCTTCACCTCCAGCAGCCAGCTATCAGCCACCAGTCTATCCAACGAACAACAATCAACCCACCGGATACTGAGTGAGCTCCTAGAAGGAATGAACATCATCCTTGATGTCGAGTTATTTATTCGTGTGGACGGTTGTTTTCATTGATATGAAAATGTAAAAACAGAAGTGTAAATACCGCATATCTATATCTACACCTACAAAATGGTTCTAAAGTAATCCATACGGACAGCTGGCACCACTGTGCAGTACTGCACCTTAATATTCTATTTCTATAGAGTTTACGAACTGCAACACTTCAATAGAAGTTGTCAGTTTTAATTAAGAGCGCTAGCTGCGTTTAATCCCAATGCTAGCAGAAACGCCTGCCTGGAAAGAAGCTTCCAGAGGCTAAGTTGTTTCCGTTTAATTTTTGCCCTCCCTTGGATGGGGGGAAGCTTCGGATACTTTAGAAAAAATATTACTATGTGCATATAATTATAAGGTAAACACTTGCCTTCAAATAGCAGAATAGGGGGTGCCTTAGGTTCATAAGTTACTGTGAAACTGCCGCGACAGACTCTGGTTGCAGCTGATCCGTTAGTATTTGTCCTACTGAATGCTTGTTGTCTGGGAACAACATTTTTCTTCCTCCAAGGGACGGGAATGAGTGCTCATTGAAGCCAGATCAATATGTACGTCTGGAGCTCAAAAAAGAAAATATAGTACGGGGACACGGGTCGTACAGTAATCCGCCTGTGGGTCCTGGCTTGAGCGCGTGAAGGCCACTGTAAGGGCAGGAATCTCAGTTTGAATTTCTGTTCCTGTTGTATGTGATCGGATTAGGCCGGTTTTTTCGGTTACAGTTCAGCAAGCACAGGTCCCCATTTCAGAACCGGAGGTGCTGCACGTTGTCAATAAGCAATCCGCCATTCCTTTCTAGCCACAGCGCTAATTGCTACAAAGTGAAGCCCACAGTCATTTTCAGGCTTCCATTGTTTCAGTGGAGCACGAGCACCTACTTAACCCCGCACGTGGTTCCGAAGTGCCCAGCGCCGTCGGTCTAGTCGGTTGACGGCTGTGGTCTCCGACCCATGTCTCACAGCTTATGATCCTCTACTCCGTTCACGTGGCCTCTGGCTTTGCTCGTGCGTAGCTCTCCCTCCGACTCTCGCTCATTGCTAGTATGTGTTTTACCTCGCTCCGACGCAACACAGCACATCAGCCCGTCTGCTGCAAATTGCCCTCACTTTTTGTCATTCCGCGTCACTTATTCGCAATCCCACGAAAAAAATCAGCTTCATGTTTCCTTTTTGTTGGTCTTTGAACCCTTCACTGTTTGAAAGAATACCTCCTTTATCTTGATATCTTATTGCCATGGGCAATAAAAAGGGCTTTTAGCAAGGGACTTATTGAGATTGACAGCACATTTCTGCTTGTTTCTTTGGTTAGGTTGGGAAGTAAATCAGTTTTCTGTCCATAAATCCGTTTGGATATCTAAGTTTCTCATGTTTAGTTGAATGTTATTGTATCTCAAGATTCATTAAATTTTTGTATCTAGTTTGTTTTTGTTTTAATTGAACTTTTGTTTTTAATTTTTGAAACCTCTTGTTAGTTTGCAGTTTTCTTTCACGCATTTAAGTAAACATATTTATCGTACATCGGAAACATTCGGTACACTGAGGGTGGTGTAGTTGCGAGTGGCGCACTATCACCCATACGCACGGTCCGTGTTTCGAATCCCGGCTACCCGCGCGGCCAAATCAAGCTTTCCATCCACTCTTGTTCGTACCAGATCCGTCTGAGAGAATGAAAGCACTGGCTCGAACATCGCTGCCACCGCAATTTAATGTATAGGCCACTGCGCATTGAAAATGTCACTACGATTCTGAAGGTAACCCGCATGCGGGGCGCATCCTAACAACATTGTTAAATAACGCAAAGGACTTCATTCTTTACCCTTTCATCATAATTTTTCTTTTTTGTCGTCGTAGCTAGTGGATAGAGATTTCAGAGAAAGCAGAGACGAAAAATTTAATATGTGATTTGTCGCTATGACCACTTGAGGTTTCGCTTAGGGTAGCAAGGAAAAAGCGTATTCAAGAAAAAACTCAGAAGTTTGGCAAGTGCACTCAACTCTCATATAAATGCTGATATAATTTTTTCTTTTGGATTATTCGCTCTTTGATTCACCGTAGTCATTTTAACATTCACATGAAATTCCAATAAAACCTTTTGTGCCTGCTTTCTCTGAAATCTTTTTTTTTCGACTAGTTTCAGAGGCAGAAAAGGCAGAAGTTGAAAGCATGATGAAAAGTGTGTGCCTGTTCTTTTCAGCAATGTTGAGGTCCATTTCGTTCTGCTTTGAAAGATTCTCAGAGAATGATAAGTAGACATTCATGCTTCTAGCAGGAAGTTTGTTGGCCGTTCTTATTAGAACCCAATGGAATTACGGTAACAGATGACGCTAATGGAATTACATTTATCGATTTCACGAATGAATAGGTAATGAATAACCATGAATGGCTGTTCCCTTACTTCAAGGGGTGTGTTCAAAGGTAAGTGGTAATGTTGCAGTGGGTGGGCGGCCACTGAAACACAATTTGTACAGGGAGAGAGGGATACTGTAACCAGCTTTTTGCAGTATCCCCTCTCACGGTCACGCAATTTTTTCACTTGATCCTTTGATGGTTCTTTTCTCCACGACCTCTGCCAGGCCCTGTTCGTTAAAAAAATTAGCTATTTACCGGCGTGAATGTCACAAGGGTGACGAATGCTCCATCCGTGTGGAACCCTGGCGGTCTTTGAACCCTATCTTAGCTGTTGTAGGTTGAGCGTCAACACTCGACGGCTTGGAGGATGGAAATTCTGCTTTAGACGTATGGCGATTGCAAAGGTAGAATCGAAGGAATGGAGATAATGGAGAACTTCCCGAAAAAACAGAATTGAGAAGAGGCCAGATTGAATTAAATGGAATCAACGCCGCCTATCATAGGAAGTAGGCGGGGCCCTCTTAGCATAGACCTTTCTTTGCATGTACAGCGATTATTTGGGTTCCTTCTTAAGATACAAAGTTGATAGGTAATGTCTAGTAGTCAGTAGCCCGTTTAGGTTTTGTCTACGGCTTACCTCATCGTTGCTTGGACTTCTACGTCCATTTCAATTGTTCCTTATGCTATCAATCATGACTTGCGACCGATTGTGATATCTTCATTAGGTGTCTTGTCAACTGGGTCTGGTAATGGTATCGTCGCCATTTTTACAAACTTGGGGGCATGGTTTTAACTCGACAGGATAGCAATACAGCTGAGTAAAACATTCCAGTAGCAAAACATGATTGATTTCTTCCTCAGATGGTTGGTTTTGTCTCCAGATTTCCAGCAGGACCGAACTCGTGGTCTTTTTTGGTGAAGACATGAGCTTCTTCCATTGACCCTTAGACTATACCTGTAACGATATGCGTTGGATACAACCCAACAGAACCTTCCGGGCTTTTGTTTCTTCTACTGAAGTGATCTGCTTCGTCTTTCGCTTTTCGAGTATTCTCAAGCAGAAGACCTCAGTGTTAGGGTTCGTAAGACATACAAGGAGCTGCTGGACTTTTTTTTGTAGTGAGGCCACCGTGGATTGCTGCCGTTTTCTGGCATCTTGTTTTTTTTTTGCATTGGAAACGTGACTAGCACCATCTTTAGTTAATCGGCTTTTCTATGCAGCAGTTATGCATGGCTGCATGATTGTTAGTTGACAGAGGCATAAATCACATAAGGGCATCGATTAATGAGCACGAGCTGAGCCATGCATTCAATTTCTAGTTGAAACTCTGTAGGCTTGCATTCTATGGAATGGCTTTTATGGGTGACCAGTGAGCGAATTATAAAGCTATTTCTAAAAAACTTCCATTCTCTTTGTTTGATGAAGCATCCGGATGTGAGCTTTAGGTGTGATTATTTGTAGGATCCACTAAAAAAATGTTTTCTTCCAGTTGCGTCTCATGATTGCCAGTAAGAAGAAACTGCGCATGTTAACAGGGGCGATCAATGAGCTTCAAATCTGATCTGGTTTTGCTTCACCAACCATAGACTATGGATGGGTTAGATGGTTTTGCCCGGTTTCGATCCTGGGTTCAATCTCAGAGTCTTAGATGTGCTGACAACGCCGTTTACTTTCTTCATCGCACTTCATTTTTGATCTCATTAGATAGTGGAGAAGCTCGAAGGCTAACGCAACCAGACGCTCTGAGAGCCGGAAATCCATAAGATCACTTCGAAGTCCCGCTTTTGCCGCTCATATCTTTTTGTTGTAGTTTTGCCAGTTGCTACCTTTTTCTACTCGAATTTTTGGCTTTTGCGCTACCTTTACCTGCTCGAATTTAGTCCCAGCAGCCGGTAATGTTTAGAGGTCATAAACACTGTTGGCGGACGCAGGTGGAGCAGTGGCAAGAGGCGCAATATCCCAATGGTTCTGGGATTGAATCCCGAGTCGAAATACGTCCAGGCCAACCATGCCATCCTTCACTCAGGGGGCGGTCATTTGGTATCAGACTCATCTAGGAGGATAAAGGATACATCGTACATTGTACTGTACATTGTACTTGTACATCGGCTAGCCACCGGGATTCATTGTATCGACCAAACCACGCTACTCCAGTTCTGAATGGAAGCCAATGATCCCAAAACGTGATTGAGTGGCGCTTAGAACTTTATCCCTTCTTGGGAAGCTGATGCACAGAGTCTTTGCAGAACTTGAGATAACTAAATGAGAGAACCTGCACCTTTGGGGTTGTTCAATATTTTTGGAACTAATCAATCTATTTTATCAGACTGCAAGTATTTGACTGCAAGTGTTTGGTTGAATTTCGATGAAATTGCTTTCTAAGGAACGATTTGTGGTCTGTAGACAGTTTTTTTCAGCCAAGAAGCATTCTGCCTTTCACCCTATCGGTAGTTCTGGTATATTTGGTATGTTTCGTGTCAATAACGTTTGTCATGTGTTCTGATTAAAATGCCATCTAATTGACGTATTTTTGTGCCTGAATCTCTGAGAATATCACGTGAATACATTGGAATGAGAACTTTGTGGAACCTTTATCATCACCTGTCATGAACGTCTGTTCANAAGCATT